CAACTACCTATCCATGCATCCATCTATCTATTCATCATATATACATCCATCCATCATCTATCTATCCACTATGTGTATATTTATCATCTATCTATTCACCCATCACCTTTCTATCTACCCACCCATCATCTGTATATCTTATCTATGCACTCATCTATTTATTGATTCATCCACTCATCTACTAGCTACCTGTCTGTCTGCCTGCCTACCCATCAAGTTGCCCTGGTCTCTCATGAAACAGGTAAACCCCTGGCATCATGGGGTCACTAGAGAGGGACGTGGACAGATGCCTCCATCTCCCTGTTAGAGCAGAGCTTCACTGGGGGCTGAGGAAGAGAAGAGGCCTCTCCCAGCAATCCCTCTCAGCTTCTTGTTCCTGCCTGAGGACGCGGAGCCTTTGTGGGCCTGAGGCAGAAAGTGTAGCTGACACCCTGCTCGTCACCTCCAGCACCCTGGGCACAGCCTCACGGCATGATGGGGCACAGACACGCCTTACACTCGACTAGGAATGAGTCCAGGTTCACGGGGACACCTTCATTCAAGGTGGTGGGGAGACACCACGTTCGGTTTAGCAGGAACTCATCTAAAGTTCCAGACTGGTGCCAATGATTAAAGGAGACTGGGCTATTTTCAAAGATGAAAATAGGTGGGAAAATCGTATTGACTTCTTATCACAAACACATATACAATGCACCCATTAATACTCCCATTGCATGAGTACACGGTGCTGCCACCACCTGGTGGCATTGTACCTAAACACTGGGTCTGGTTTCCCGAGGTGAATGCGCCCTTCTAAAGGCGGAGCCTGTAAAAAACAACCTTCAAGTACATTAGAAAGGCCCAGGTCAGTTGCCATCAAGTCGGTTCCGATGCACCGTGCCCACATGCGTGTGGAGGCGGGGGCAGGTTTCACAGTTGGGACAAAGAAACAGAGGCAATGCTGTGTCACCCAGGGTGCCAAGGCACAGTTGTGCCCGTCAGACTGGATTGTCCCACTCACTCCACCCAGCAGGTTTCACTTCCTTCCTTTTGGTAAGCACCCAGCTGCTAACCGGAAGGTTGCTGGTTCAAGACCAGAGGAGGAAGACCTGGGAATCTGCTTCAGTATCTGATCTCTCACATTAACGACAATCACAAATCCTCAGCCACCCAGCTCGTGTCACTTGACGGATATTTCCTGAGGGGTGAAGGGAGCCTGCTGGACTGTTAGGGGCAGGGTCGGCTGGGCTGAGCCAGGATTCTCAGTGGTTTGGCTACAGGACGAAGGTGTCAGTTGGAAGTCAGGTCATGATGTCATCATCCTTCATTTTTGCACGACACTGATTTTGAAACACCGAGCTCGTCTTTAGGAATTAGCTCGCACCCTCCAGGGAACCCCCTGGGGCAGGTCTCTGCTGTCACACGGGGTCTCTCTGGGTTGGCTCAATGCCAGCAGCAGTTGTCGTTTCCTGAACACGAAGCTGTTGCTTGTGATGTCAGCACTCACCCAAGCCCCGGCTACTCACCCAGGTTGTACCACATGTCTCTGATCTCAAACCCAATCTGCCTCCTCATGTCGCCGTACCTGAGAACCGGGGGAGAGAGAAGGCTGAGTCACTCCACAGGGCATCTGGAATCAGACCGGAATTACGTTTAAGTGCAACTAACGCTTCTCATCCCCGAGAGAGGGAGAGAGGAAGGAGCTGGAGGCGAGGACTCGGGCTTGATCTCCGTGGGTTACCTAACACGCCCCACTCCCAGCAGGAGAGCAGAGAATGCGCATCCTGGGCTGAGAGGTGGTTTGTTTTCCCCACATGTTGTTGGCCTCAGGTAACAAAGCCATCAGCTTTCCCGACACCCAGGCCAGGAAAAGCACCATCTGCTTCATCGGTTCAACCCTTCCAGGACCCATGGGGCACAGAGTGCCCACCTACATTTCCTGCCGCTGGTGTTTAGTGGGAAGCCACCATCCCACTTGCGGTGTGTGCTGCCACCTGGTGGGGGACTGTAGAGCTGCGTGAATCGGAAGAAAAAGAACGGGCCTCGTCCCACACATCCCAACACTAGAAACCCTTTGGGAAGTAAGTGTCTCATCAATGATAAAAAAAAGAAAATTACAGCACCTGAAATGATAATCAGTTTTATTTTGGCTTTCCTTTCATTCAAAACACCTTCCATGACAGAAAGCTCCGGGCTTCAACCAATAATTCCAGACAGACGGCAATCAGGCCTTGAAAGGGTTAAGAGTAAAGGCAGATTCAGAGCCCAGAGGTGGCATTGGATACGACAGCGCCTTTGTTTATCGGGGAAAATAATTGCTAATTTGCCTCCCAGTGGAGGAGCGGGAGGTGTGCGTTTCACGAGTAAACAGAATTTGATGCTTCCGACGATAAACCTTTATTGGTTTGTGAGCAATTTAACTTTTTCCTTTATTGCCTCAAGAAAAAGCTGATTATATTAAAAATAATAATTTGCCAAGATTACCATACAGGATTGCAGTCTGGCAGCTGCAGGGCAACGGGAACTGGGCTGAGCATCCACGTGTCGGCAGAGCTGTGGGGCACATAATGAGTCCTGGACACACGCCTGCCCACCGCTGCCCGGGGGCACTGGCTGTGAGTGTCACTGTGGTGGCGGCCCTCTGCCTTGTTATCACCAGCCTCCAGGCCCTGACACTTGCCGGTCACTCACAACAGGCAAGGACGCCAGCCGGGTGACCACCTCTGCCACGGAGGGGGAAACCCGCTTGGTGGTTTCACCTGTGTGGGTGACACCATGTGCACAGGTGACACAGTGTGTGCAGGGGCTCCAGTGACCGGACCCACTGGACAGACAGAGGCACTGAGGCCGGGGAGCTTAAACCTCTTGCCGGCCCTCCGAGGGAAATGGTATTACCTACAAGCCCAAAGGTGGGACCGATGGTGAGGTAGGCTCCTTGGTAAGTGAGATGGGACAGTGGGGAGGGGATACAGCCCAGCGAGGTAGTGGGTCTCAGATGGCAAGCACAGATGGGCAGGCACCCTTTGCTCTGTAAGTGGCCCCCACTCCATGCTGGCCAAAGATGTGGAGCCCAAACACTGTGACCCCACCTCCTGGGGACTTGCGGTGCCAGCTCACACATCCCCAGGGCCCCGGCACTTGGGCTGAGCAGGGCGTTGGCAGCAGCTACCCTGTCCGAGAGAGAGGACACTGAGGTGGTGTAGTGGTCTGAGAAGCTGCATCCTCGCGGATGTATCGGGAAGAAGGATGTGGGACATGGAACCCGGGCAGAGCCCTGGGGAACCAGGTTCCGCCGCGTGGGCGTGTGTGGGGAGATGCAGCACCTTGGGCAGGCTGGGGAAGGCAGCCCCAAGAACACCACATGGCCTTCTCCAGCCCTTCACCACCACGTTCAGTCTCATCATGCCCAGGAGGGGCTGAGCCCCCATAGGGAGGTACAAGCTGGCTGCAGACACAGAATTCCTGGTCATCCGGGGATGCCAGCACTCCGAAAACATGGAGTGTCACTATTGGGCTCATCATCTCTCCCTGAGGGCTGGGCGGTTCTGTGGGAAGATGTTTGGGGTCCAGCCCTGCTCTGTGCACCTCACGCACAGCCAGCTTCCATCTGACCTGAGAGGTCACAGGATGCTAAGAGGTGGGGCAGGTTTCAACAGAGCTTGCAGACTGAGGCAGGCCAGGGAGAAAGGTGTAGCTGTCTACTTTCAAGCTCCAGCAGATAAAAACCCTCAGGCCCACGTGGCCTGGTCCTGAGCTGATCACGAGGCCAGGGCATGGCTGGACAGTGTTTCCTTACCGACCCTCCACGCAGACGGGGGCTGAGTCCATGGTAGGCAGCATCAACACAGCTATTCCCTCCCACCCACATGCCTGTCTGACCCTGGCTGGCTTTCCTCTCTCGGGCCTTCTTACTACTCTGCATCCAGAGGAAATCCCACAGTTTAGAAATGAAAGTACAGCAGACAATCCGCAGCGGCAGGCTTACACCACACGGTTGAGGTCACTGGGGGTGGTTTATGCTTGCCCCAGAGCTGGTACGGAATTCAGAGAGCCCAGGTGGCACTGTGAGCTGCAAATCCCAAGGTTCAAACCCACCAACTGCTCCATGGAAGAAATAGGAGGCTGTCTGCTCCTGCAAGGATTTACAGCCTTGGAAACCTGGGGCGGTTCCACTCTGTGCTACAGGTTTTGCAATGAGGGGGACCTACCTGGGGCGGGGGCGGAGGGGGGGACTTGGGGCTGAATCCTGGGCCATGGGCAGCCAGTGTGAAGCTCAACTCCAAATTCACTGCCATCATCAAGTCAGTGCTGACTCACAGTGACCCGCTGTGGGTTTCTGAGACTGTAATTGTTGACGGGAGTAGAAAGCCCAGTCTTTCTCCCTTTGAGCTGCTGCTGGTTTTGAACTGCTGACCACTCGAATCACAGCCGAACTCAAGGTCAAGAGTGAGGGAACTCAACCTCTCAGTCAACTCTTCTTGGAGATCGGCATAGATAGGAAAGACTGCCAGCCTTCAGAAGTGTCCAGGGCTGTTAGAAGAAGGTTCCCTCCCCCCACCACTGTGATTTTAATAGTCAAACCAATTAGGCAGCTTCCAGGACAGAGTGAGACAGGAGGACAGGGGCTGGCAGGTAGAGAGTAAAGTGGGATTTTCCTGGCAGCGGGACAGATCATTTCTTCAGTTTTAATAAGAAGACAGCTTTGATGAATCTGTCTGCGTCCCTGACAATCCCCTAACAGAGTTACAGCTGTCACCTGAACACCGGAGGGCTTTGGGGACCACCCCCAAGTTCTTTCCAAGGAGACTTTGCCCAAAACAAAGGAATCAGCTGGCGGCTTGGGCTCAACACCCTCGTGACACGGGCAGCATTTCTGAGCGGAGGCTCAGGAAGGTTACCAGTTGTCACCACGGCAAGGTCAGTAGTTCAAAACCACTAGCTGATCCACAGGAGGAAGATGAGGCTTTCTACTCCTGTACAGAGTGACGGTCTGAGAAAGCCACAAGGGTGTTCTGCTCTGCCCTGTAAGGTCGCAATGAGGCAGAAACCAGCTCGAGGGAGGGGAGTTTGGTTGTGGGCACTTTAGCCTGGATTGATGGGCTGCAGTTCAAAACGGAGGGCCGGAAGCCTGAGGGAATTGTACCAGTGCCAGAGGGAGTGGCAGGATGCGAACGCTTCCCACACCCCATCCCACTGTCTCCCACCAGGAGGCCACATCACGAGACAAGTGTCCCAGCAGAGGCTCACGGTGACCCTCGGAGGTGGCCCAGAGCTGTTGTGGCCCTGTTGGGCGAGGTGTTACTTGAGGCAGGTTTCTGCTTCCACGTCCAGCTCCCCTGAACCCGCCCCAAGAAGGATCAAGCATAGGACCCACCCTTCCGACTGTCCCAAGGCCCCCGGAGATCACCTCACCAGATCTCACACCCTCAGCTTCCCATAAACTCCGTGGCCTTATTCCCACGCTTCAATACCCTCTCAGCAGGGAAATTCTTTAGGGGCCTTTCAGCATCCATGTTTTCTTTTTTGGGGGAGGGGTCCTAAATAAATCTTTCACCTGTTGATTTGGGGTTGTAGGGGGGATGACCCATCACTATGTCGGGGCACAGGGCTTTCAGGATGGAGTTGGACATTAAAAAAAAACAACCCTGAACTCACTGCCATCGAGTTGTTGTGGACTCATCACGGCCTGACAGTGGAACGGCCCCTGTGGACTTCAGAGACCTAACTCTTTACAGGATCAAACAGTCTCCTGATTTTCCTGTAGAGCAGCTGGTGGTTTTGAACACCAGACCTTGTGGTTTGCAGCCCAGGGCATAATCACAACACCACCGGGGCGCCTTCTTGAATACTAGGATCACTTTTATTTGCAGAGCTTTGACGGTCAACAAACTGGGTCCTGGTTCCACGTGACAAAGCGTCCTGCTATAAAAAGGGGGATGTTAAGCCCAGATGGAGGGCCTGCATACTTTAATGTGTTTTTCACGGCAGCTGTAGAAGTCACTGCACTGGTGTGTGTTTTGCTGCATCAAGATCAACAGCCACCACCATTACAACATGCGAGAGAAAAAACACCTTTCCAGGAAAGAACTCTTGGCCCTGGATTCGATAGGCACGTGCTGGTGACTGTTGGTAAGGGGTTGCTTTGCTGGCTCCGCCTCACAGAGATTACATGCAAATGAGACCACGCATTGCCCAGCCTGACACCGGTCCCGAGGTCAGCTGGGGGTGGGACTGTTGAGTCCAGTGCCCTGGCTGGCTTTAGTATGGGTCTGGAGGCCCTCCCGGCCCCCGAAATCCATTCAGCATTGTAAGCCAGTCCAGCCCCCCGGCACTGACCTGCAGCAGTCTTTACAGGGTGCCTAGGACTGTCAGTCTTTAAAGTAGCACACAGCCTCATCTTTCTCTCTAGGAGTGGTTGATGGGTTAGAACTCCTGACCTTGAGGTTAGCAGCTGAATGCCTCGTCCCCTGAAGGCTCCTTGTTCATAGCAGCAGAAAACCTCCGCTGACAGACGGGCAGTGGCTGTGCTCCAGGAGCGCTGCCCGGGACTGAGCCCAGGTCTCCCGCTCGGGAGATGAGAATTCTCCCTTGGAATCACTTTGGGACCCTGGACCTGTCAGCTAGGCCCAGCTCATGCAAGCTCTCCCTGATAGAGAAGTTCCTTCTGGGTGGGTCCCCTGAGACATCCATCACTTACAGAAAGATACAAGGTGTTTCACACACTGATAATTTCAAGCCAGCCACGAGTCGGAAGCTGGGATGTTTACATATTACTTATATTTCCCGAGTCCCAAGTATGTAGAAGCTTGGGGCTGGACAAGGAAAGATGGCCGGTCAGCATTCCTCAGCCACCATGGTTGGTCTTTTATGAGGTAGCAGTGCCCTGCACCCAGGGTGGCCCCAGGCCCAGCTTTGGACTTGTTGGGTTCTGGACTTTGATTGCCAACAGTGACCTGCTTGGTTCATGGGTGGGTCTTGTATTCCACCGGGACCTTCCATGGTTGGCGCTCTGCCTGTGTGCCCCGTCCTTACTGTGTGACACCTATGATGTTTCGAGGTAAGGATGGCGGGGCCTTGTCACAAGGACTTTGGACGTGTTGTCAGCAGAGACCTGTCCCTGGAGAAGGACATCGTGTCTGGTAAAGTCGAGGGGCCGTGAACAAGAGGACGGCCCTTGGCATGGTGGATGGACACAGCGGCAGCAGCCACGGGCTCAGGCGTAAGAATGATTGTGAGCATGGCCCAGGAGTCGGACCCAACTTGAATTCACTGACCACCACCACCTCCCCAGTCAGACTTGGACTTCTCCACTGAAGGGGCCAGGAGTTACCTCGTTGTCTTCAGTGGCCTCATGGGGTCATGGGGTCAAGGTGCTGCTCTCAGACACGGAGGCCACTTCCTCGCTGATGGCCTGTGGTGGGTCCACCGTGTCTGGAGAGCTGGCCGGCAAGGGCTCTGTTATCCATTTCCCAATGCCACTTCTACGGAGCAAAACTGAGTGGGAAATATCTGAGGACACCTCCCTGAGGCAACCAAGAGGCATTCGATGGTGACATGGGGGAGGGGCGGGCGCAGTTCTTGGAAATCCAGAAGAGCGGGCTGTGGTCACCTTCGAAGAGGACCCACTGAGAAAGCCAACAATCCCACAGGTGCTGGTCCCATTGGCCCGGAACTTCCTTCCTTCCTTCCTTTCTTCAGTCTGAGCAGCACTGGAGAATGGAGTGGCCAAGTTCCCTTCCCATGAATAACATCACAGAACTCCCATGCAGAGAGGCCCCTTCCCAGAACGCCCCTCTGGGTCGCCCTGAAGCCTTGAATCACATTGGCCTTGAGCCTACCTCAACACCAAGTCAGATCTAACTTTCAGGTTAGAAACGGCAGTGTCTGATTCAGGATTTAAAGCCACGCCTCCATTACAGGGTGACTGCATCTCGATTTGGACCAGCTTGGCTGAGAGAAATGCTAAGGAAATTCTGCAAATGGGGCTAGAATAAGGTGACCAGACATCCCGCTTTTGGCGGGACAGTCCCGATTTTTAACAATTTGTCCCG